CTGGGGACCTGGACGTCCTGGAGACCACGTCCGGGCCGGGCACTGACGCAGCCTGACGACCTGACAACCGACCTCGTGAGCAAGAGGCGGCCGGCGTTCGCGGGTCTTGGCAAGATGCGCGCACCCCAGAGGGCGGAGGGCAAACCCTGGGCGACGCATAAGGGCCTGGAAGTCTGAGGCCTGCTGGGCCCTTAGGGGGCGAAGGATCGCACCCCGACCCGCCGCCCCTGGGAGGGTGCCTGGAGACCCCTTCCCTACGGGCCGCGCCTTCCACGCTCGAGGCCCCGCGGAGGGCGCCGGCGTGGCGGGACCAGAGCAGCCGCAGGCCCGCGGCGAGGCGCCGTCTCGAAGGCCCCGCGGCCCCGCAGACCCGGCGGGTTCAGAGCCGTGTGTGAAGGAGAGACGCCAGCGTCCCGAGAGGGCAAGCCCCGTGCCGAGTGGCCGTGTAGACCCCTGGGGTTCCGGGGCAGCCCACGTGGGCGGCGGTTCCGAAGCCTGCGCGTCCCGGGCCCCTCCCTGCCGGAGGGGGGGCGTCAGACGTCCAGCCCGCCCCCGGGAAGCTCGGGTGCGCCCCGCTGAGGCCCGTCATGAGGTGGGAGGGGAACACCGGGCGCGAGCACCAGCACGGGGCACGAGCACCAGCATCGGGCGCGAGCACCGCCAGCGGGCACGAGCACCAGCACCGGGAGCGAGCACCAGCACCGGGCGCGAGCACCAGCACGGGGCACGAGCACCAGCACCGGGCGCGAGCACCGCCAGCGGGCACGAGCACCGCCAGCGGGCACGAGCACCAGCACCGGGCGCGAGCACGGCCAGCGGGCGCGAGCACCAGCACCTGGCGCCAGCCTCGCGCCATGGAAGCAACATGCCTCCATTGGGCCAAGGGACCTATCTAATGCAAAGGGGGTGTGAGTGTGGCCCAGGACCATGAGGTCCACTGACGCTGTCACATGCGCCCATTGGAAGCCGCTGGCCTGATACCACGACAGGGTGGCCTTTCCAAGGAGGAGCTGATATGCCAGTTTGGAAACGTGATATCAACCTCCAGGTTTCCAGGCTGCAGAGTACACCCAAAATCAGCAACCGCTGGGGGGGGAGGGGGGCTGTCACCGGCAGGTGGAACGCATGGGTCCGGGAGCCCAGGAGGGTGGGGGTGGGGGGGAGGAGCAAGAGTGTCCCCAGTTACCATCACTGCCCGTGACAGCCTTGGAGAATGCTTGCCTTCCTGCCCCAAGTGGGTCTAGAAGACATGATTCCCAGAAGGAGACGCTTCTGCCAGCTCACACCCAGCTCCAGCTGCCGCTTAGTCACTAAGGGCTCCTGTGCCAGAGGCCAGCAAGCAAGGGAAGGTGTCGTGGTTGGGTCACGACCCTGCTCCGTGGGGCAGATACGGCTGTGGTTCACCAGGGGACAGCGAAGAACATGAGTGGCACCCAGGAAGCTCTGAGGGCGACCCTGTTTGGACAAAGGGTCTTTGCAGATGTAACTAAGTTAAGGACGGAGGGGAGATCATCCTGGTGACAGGTGTCCTTACGAGAGACACGGCCACAGAGAAGGTCATGAGAACTCAAAGGCAGAGACCGGATGGCCAGGGCCACAAGCCGAGGGCCGCCTGGGGCTGTCGGAAGCTGGAAGAGCCAGGACGGATCAGACACGGTGGTCTCAGGCTAGGAGAGAAGTTCAGGCCTCCAGAACTAGGAGAGGAGAGACTGATGTTGAGTTAAGCCCCTCGGGGGCGCTCATCGGTTGCAGCCCTGCAGTCCCCCCGCAGGGACCAGGCAGAGTCCCAGAAGGCGTTCCCGGTGGGTGACCTTGCTCTACAAAAGTGGGTGCCTATGGGGAAGACAGCAGTGGAGGCCGGGATACGCTGCCCCGAGTCCCCCCTCCCCGGGCGCTGTCCTTGAGGGGACTGGTTGGTGGGAGGGTCCAGGGCCAGGTTCAGGGGTCCCTGCGGGGCCGCCACAGCTCCCCGTGGACGTGGTCCAGCCTCGCCCTCTGCCGGCCCTGCTTCCCCCCAGCTGCCCTTCCTGAGAATGCTCCCCAATAAAGCCCCTGCACCCCATTCTTAGTCTCCTATGCCAGGGGTTATTTCAGCCCAAAGACAAAGGGACGCATTGTTTAATAAGTGGTGTTGGGATGGCCAGGGCACCGTCCAGAATAAAGGTTCTATCTGAACCTTAGGCTGACACCAAAGAAATGCCAGATTTCAAAGATTTAAAAAAAAACCTAAGGGCTCTAACAAGAAAGCATTTAAAAATAATCTTTCTACATTCACTCCAAAATCAGACGCCATAAAGGAAAATAATAATAATTTTTATTACAGTTATTATGTGTAAATCTTCAGAGCAAAACCTACCAAAACCAAAGTCAGAAAAAAAATTAAAGACTGAGAAGAATATTTTCAATTCTTCACAAAGGATAACTTTCTTTAAAAATAACAGAATTACAAATCCAGGGGTTTTTTTTAATATTTTTAACGTTTATTTATTTTTGAGAGACAGAGCATGAGCGGGGGAGGGTTAGAGAGAGGGAGACACAGAATCCAAAGCAGCTCCAGGCTCCAAGCTGTCAGCACAGAGCCCGACACGGGGCTCGAATTCACAACTGTGAGATCATGACCTGAGCCAAAGTCGGGCGCGTAGCCGACTGAGCCCCCCAAGCGCCCCATTCCTTTGCCCATTTTTTAATTGGGTCATTTGTCCTTTTGGTTGCCTGGCTGCAAGAGCTCCGTATACATTCTGGCCCCTAGATCCTTGTCACATACGTGATCTGCAATATTTTCTCCCATTCTGTGGTTGTCTTTTTTTACTTTCTTACTAGTGCCCTTTGGTGCACAAAAGGTTTTCATTTTGAAGAGGCCAAATGATTTGTTCTTCTCTTGCTCACACTTTCAGTGTCAGCGCCACGTTTCACAAACGAGAACTATCCCGAAACACAATTTTTCACTTATTTATTTGGCGAGGATCCGGAACTCTGATGATGCACTGTATTGGTGGGTAAATGAGTTCCTCGCGCATATACACCACCGACCTTCTTAAAGAGCATTTTCCAGCATCTGCCCAAGTTACAAAGCTTGATCTGACTCTGAGCCAACGTCTCCAGGTGTACGAACTTGTCTTGGACACACTGGCACATTGGGAAGTTATGTTAAGTACAACTACGTGCTTACGGACCTTATGGCATTGTTTGTACCGATCCACTGTGTGACCTGGAGAAAACCACATGCCCTCTCTGTTTCTGTTCCTTGTCTTCCCTGGGAAAGGAGCCAGGAGGGTCCAACTTGTCTGGAGTTACAAAACACATTCCAGAGCTGCAGGAGACTTCTGCCATCTGGGTCTGTCTGCTCGTGTACCGAGAAACCAAGGCCCAGAAGGGTCAGTCTCTCACAGGGTTTGGGGAGCCAGGGAGAGTCTGCTGGAAGGAAAGGTGGGATTCCAGTCTCAGTCCCTCTGAGGCGCTGGGAGCTGCCAGCCCTGAGAAAGCAGTACCCATCCTGGTCATGGATACTTCTAGAACAGGCTGTCCCCCATTTTGAGGTCTCCAGAGCTGAGCCAACCTGTCAGGCCCTGTTCTGCAGGAGGGCATATGGCCGCCAGAGCAAGGCTTCCTCTTCACGCTCCCGTGATCCCTCCATGGGTCCCCTGCCTGCTGATTCAGGTCCTCACAGCTGACTCTCAGCCCCTATGAGCTCCTGTCCCAAATGTCCCCAGACCAAAGGCCTGGCCATGAGCAAACTGCGAAGGACACTCGGGACCTGAAGGAGTGGACTGTCTGGGCCACACCCAACTCCAGGACACGAAAAAATGTTCAGCATCATTTTCAAGATGAAAAAAAAACAGGCTTGATTCCCCAATGCCGCCTGGAGTTCAAGCTTCCTGAACACCCTCAGCACATCCTCATGTCTGCAAGGAGGCTGCTGCTTCTCCAGGCCTCACGTCCACGTTCTCAGCAGCAAAAGCAAGAGGCGAGGAGGAAGGAATAGCACCACAGCAGGAGAGCAAAACCCTTTCCCGAAACCTCTTGAGATCCCTGCTCACATCTCACCCAGCTGACCTGGCAGCAAAACCGCGGCAAGATGAGGGTTTCCAGCTGAGCACGTGGTTCCCTCTGAATAATCGGGGCTCAGGCAGGTGGGGGGGGAGGTGGGTGCAAGCAGGAGGGGGGAGGAGATGGCATGGACAGGTGGAAGCGGGGAGACGGGTGCAGGCAGGTGGAAGGGGGGAGATGGGTGTGGCCACTAGTAGGTTCCCAAGGCCGCACGGCCAGTACACAGGACAGAAAGACCACCACCCCAGCCTCCACACGGCCGTACGGAGGGCACAGCGGGACCCCCACAAGCCGCCGGTTCACACTCCTCTTGGGCACGGCCGCTGCCTGCTCAACTGCTCCCGGAACCAGACGAAGCCGGGTTGCCCCCGAGTCTGTCAAGTTTACTGTCAGACTTGGTTCTTGGATAACTGTGAACTGAAGAAAGTCACTGCCCAGGCGAAGGGCCGAGTCCCCAGCCTCCTGGCCCCTGGGCAGGGAGTGCCCAGCGCTGGGCTTTGGGGTGCCAGCAGAGCAGATGCTCTGCCTGCCGAGCCCCTTTCTCTCCCCCATCACTCAGGGACAAGGACTAGGCTGGTTGTAAAAGCAAAGTCAGGTCTCAGAGGCACAGGCCCCCCGATGGACCGTGGCTCAGCGCCGTTTTCTACTGCCTGTGGTCGAAAGCCATCTCAGCTGTTCAGGGGGACCCAAAAGTGCCAGATACAGCGCTGGGCCCTGCATCCTGGCCCCGCCGGTGAGAGCACCCCTTCCCTATAGAAAGACCCTCCTTTCTCAGGGAGGGGCCAGGCGGTGCGGGCAGGCTGTGACGGGCCACGACGCACCTGCCTGGAAAGCTGGTCTCCCAAGACCCCACTTAGGAAGCCACCTGGGACGTGCGCGGGCCCAGCTCCCTCCAGCAGCCACGCAGGCAGCACCCCGCTCCCAGGCAGGTGCCGAAGCCCCGATGCAGGTACCTGCGCAGGCTCGCAGCAGTGGGCCCAAGCAGCCTGGCGTCCCTGATGGAGGAACAGATAAACAAAGCGCAGCCTGTCTGCACCACGGAACCGTGTTCAGCCTTCGGAAGCAGTGAGCTCAGACACCTGCCGCCACGTGGGTGAAGCAGTCCGGGCGCGATGCCGGGGACAGAAGCCGGGCACAGAAGGCGCCCCATGGCCTGACGCCCCTGACATGAAATGTCCGGAATCGGCAAACCCCTAGAGACAGAAAGTGGATTAGTGGTTTCCAGAGGCTGGGGCAGTGGGAGACTGGCGGGTGGTTACCTGATGCGGGGCGAGGTCAGGAACCAGAGGCAGGTGGTAGTTCCACGGTCCTGTGAGTACGAAGAATACCTCTCAGTTACAGGCTTTAAGTCCATTCATTTTATGCTCGATTTAGAAAAAGAGCTGCTAGTGGCACTGGTGGTACTGAGTATCGGCTGTGCTGGGGAGCCCCGGCAAGCCCGCGGCTGGGCGGGGCCAGCGGCCTCCGGAGGCTCCGCCCCCACCCGAGGCTCCTCCCCCACCCGGAGGCTCCTCCCCCACCCGGACGCTCCTCCCCCACCCGGAGGCTCCTCCCCCACCGGACGCTCCTCCCCCACCCGGACGCTCCTCCCCCACCCGGACGCGCCCCCCCCGCCCGCCGGCGCGGGCGCCGCGCGCCGGCGGGCTGG